TAGGTCAGTACATTACCGCGATCATCATTCAAGCGCAGTCCAGTGAGACGATGGCATTTCTGGGTGCCTGGTCCTTTCAGACCCTCTCCATCTTTATCCCCTTGAATTGAGTCATAGTGGGGAGACTTTTGCAACGCCACATGCATGAAATAGATATCGATCATAGGCATGAAGTCAATTCCATAACGAAATCTAAGGTGTAACAGGGTGAACTGGCTGCAGAAAGCATCTCATCGAATGACTCCTTCAGAAGCATGATAGAAGGTTTTAAAAAACTACAACGAACCTTCCACCTTTATGGGGACGAATTCCATCGATCTAGCAGGTATAACCAACTTTTGTAACTTATCAGCAGGTAAATCATTGGAAGAATCGTACCTGAAAAGGTAGATTATGTGTAAATCAACAATGAATGGTGTAAGACTTACCTGAGGTCCAACGGTACCTTACCACCCGTTCGAACATGACCAAATGGTGTATCTGCTTTACGAGTTCCTCCCCAATTCTCATATAGGACATCTTCTCCTATTGATTCCTGAACCAGAGACTTCATGGGAGGGAGCTTCGTTTCTGAGAATGTTGCTCAGACCACCCGCTGTACCGTACAGAAGGGTTGAGAGAAACAGGCTGCAGAAATGTGGAACCCACCTTCAAAATGGCTTTCCAATCGTTACCTAGAATTCTGATTTTTTGTTGAGTTTGTTTCGCCAAGCACGGTGACACCATTCCCCATAGTATTTGAATGAACGGAGGAACGTTTATGACGAATATTTTTCGGATGACATCAGGAAACATCTCCTAGAATGAAAAATAAATGAAGTATTACGGTAGCCAGATTGGAGAAACATGGTCTTCGTTGGCTAACTGATCATGACACTCGTTAGGAGGTTGTTTATCTTGCAGGAGCTTTCAAACCTAGACACATTCGAAAATCAAAGTGAAAATAGCGTAGTGGCCATGGATAATGCCTCCTCATGCCTCGAATTCATTCTAAATCACAAGAAAGATCAGTTCGGGAAGGAAAGGAGATTAGACTTGATATAGTTCACCCCCTTTTAGCTCCTTTCGTGGACAAGCTGACCTTCCCTTCCTTTGAAATGGTTTTTGATGAAGCTACAGAGAATGGATGTCTATGGCTCTTACAGCATAAAAATAGCCCCAACCCCAACTTGACCGGCACCAATTCACATCCGAATCCAGCCATTGAAGGCTCATGCAATTTAAAAAGGAAGTACGGGGTGTGTATCTTTCCAGGAAACTCAAACAAGATTAACGATCCTTTCTCCATTAATCCTAGGATCACACCCCACCTAAGATCGCTCAAGAACATAGGGGGAGTGAAGCGTTTTTATTTGTTTGTTTATTTATTCGGCCGAATTCCGCGGTGACAGGTCACATAGGATGTTGTAGAACAGTAGGAAGAGGCACCGTCGTTTGAATGGAATCCTGGGTCGATACCCTCCCGGTGTATGGTAAGTAAGCCTTCCATAACGGGTTAACCGAACCGCAGTCAAAGAGCCTTTTGCAAAAAGTAGAAGTCTGTCATGAAATTTAAGCTAACGAAATTTAGGTCGGCGAGAGCAAACCAAATACCGAACCTTTGAAAGAGCTAAGCTAAATGTCAAGAGAACTAGCGTGAATCAAGCAGAATCCCACTTGTAATTGTGCTAACATTGTGGTGACGACCTTCATTGCTTGTACGTCAAGTTGTGATAGACTCAGGCCATCAAGATCGAAAATCACCGACGTGCCTAACTGCTTGCCAAATTCCTTTTCTCGAGCTCTGAAAATAGTTAACTTTTATGCAAGCTGAAGTATAAACGCTTCTTCATAAAATTGGATCGCATAGCAATTCTGTATACACTTGCTGGAACAGATTTTCAATCGTACTGGATTGTTCTATGCGACTTTTTGATAAAAATATAGTCTTTTAAAGGAAATCAATCCGTAGGGTCTAAAGAATGCGCCACGCATTCGACTCCAAGTCAAGTTCGTAGTGGCGTAATGAATGAGGCCTATACAGTGACTTGTGGTGGCCAGCCAATGAAGAAGTCAGTGTTTCTATCCTCCCAACGTGCCTTGTAGAAATTGACCGACCCCGGAGGGAAGGAAGGTTTGGTTGGACTGGGCAGAGATCGATCCAAGGTCCTATCCCGTAACGATGCGTGCGTGATAGGGCGCCACTTGCAACTACACCACCTCCTCCCCTTTTAATATTATCACAGCATCCATTCTACTTGACAGGAGCGAAACCAACAACACTCTGTACAGCATTAAACCCATCCCATATCTCAAAAACCTCTTCCATGGTAACGAACGTCTCCAGGGTTACTCCCACAGATTGGTTTCATACATTATGGCGGTTTCTCCATCAACTGATTAGACGGAAAGCAAACGTTACAAAGGGCAACAACTTTGTAGAAATGGGCTTTTGCAAGGCTTTTTCTAGCCTTAATAGTCCAAATATTTCTGGTCATTCACAATATTTGTCATTTGAATCCCATACAGAATGGTAGTGGCGTCTTGAATGTTTATTTTAGCCATACAGTCACTTGCGATAGCCAGGCGATGTACAAGTCAGTGGTTTTATCCTTCCAGACGATTCTGGAGCCACTTAACCTAACCCTGTAAGGATGAACGGCCTAGTTGGCCTGATTAGTATCAATTCATAATTCGATCCTCGGACCATGCGTGAATTCTAGCGCGAATCTTGCCACTAGACCATCTTTAGTCACTTATGTTACTCAGTAGCTCAAAGTTATGGAGGTTCGAAGCTTCTCTTTTATGAGAACTCCTTTGTTGCACTTTGTTTTTTTAATGAAACCGTTAAGAACTATGGACCAGTTTGAGTAACATCCATATTTTACCAGTTTTGAAAGCAGTTCTATAAGAGAACAAGAATCGCAGGAACGACGGCTGTGTAAACATTTGATTACTTCAGAGGGAACTACTAAAGAGTTCCATGACTTCCCATTAGCTTACTGGGTTGGCAGAACTTCAAAATTGGTGAAAATGTAGTTGGGGGGGGGGGGGC